CAATTGTTAAAATGTGATTGAAACACAGAACTTAAACTTACTTAAAGCTTAATTGTCTTTGAGCGATTATTCTGATCACCCAGAAACACAAACTATTGACCGTCATCGGATTCAATGGTTAAAATTTCATTGAAACACATAACTTAAAGCTTAATTGTCTTTGAGCGATTATTCTGATCACCCAGAAACACAAACTATTGACCGTCATCGGATTCAATGGTTAAAATGTGATTGAAACACAGAACTTAAAGCTTAATTGTCTTTGAGCGATTACTCTGATCACCCAGAAACACAAACTATTGACCGTCATCGGATTCAATGGTTAAAATGTGATTGAAACACCGAACTTAAAGCTTAATTGTCTTTGAGCGATTATTCTGATCACCCAGAAACACAAATTATTGACACAGTAAACTGATGGATGCCCTGTTATAATGCCGGCGCTAGGGGGGTCGAGGTTGGGGGGGGGGAGCTTCGAGGCCGTGGGCGAATTTAGTTTTACGGTGCCTTTCTACGGCTGATCTGACAGCAAGGCACGTCATAGGCATGCTGGGTCTTACTGGTCACAACCGGACAAGTCATAGGCATGCTGGGTCTTACTGGTCGCAACCGGAGAAGTTATAGACATACTGGGTCTTACTGGTCGCACCCGGACAAGTTATAGACATACTGGGTCTTACTGGTCGCAACTGGACAAGTTATAGACATACTGGGTCTTACTGGTCGTAACCGGACAAGTTATAGACATACTGGGTCTTACTGGTCACAAATGGACACGTTATAGACATAATGGGTCTTACTGGTCACAAATGGACAAGTTATAGACATACTGGGTCTTACTGGTCACAAATGGACACGTTATAGACATAATGGGTCTTACTGGTCACAAATGGACAAGTTATAGACATACTGGGTCTTACTGGTCACAACCGGACAAGTTATAGACATACTGGGTCTTACTGGTCACAACCGGACAAGTTATAGACATACTGGGTCTTACTGGTCACAAATGGACAAGTCATAGACATACTGGGTCTTACTGATCACGAATGGACAAGTCATAGACATAATGGGTCTTGCTGGTCACGAATGGACAAGTCATAGGCATACTGAGTCTTACTGGTCGCAACCGGACAAGTTATAGACATACTGGGTCTTACTGGTCACGAATGGACAAGTCATAGACATAATGGGTCTTACTGGTCGCAACCGGACAAGTTATATACATACTGGGTCTTACTGGTCACGAATGGACAAGTCATAGACATAATGGGTCTTACTGGTCGCAACCGGACAAGTTATAGACATACTGGGTCTTACTGGTCGCAACCGGACAAGTTATAGACATACTGGGTCTTACTGGTCGCAACCGGACAAGTTATAGACATACTGGGTCTTACTGGTCGCAACCGGACAAGTTATAGATCTAGACATACTGGGTCTTACTGGTCACGAATGGACAAGTCATAGACATAATGGGTCTTACTGGTCACAAATGGACAAGTCATAGACATACTGGGTCTTACCGGTGTTACAAGTTATGGCCGTCTGTTTGTGTACGGTACCCCATTAACCTGACCGGGTCAGAACACCACCAGCCAGGAAGTGCGATGTCTTTATCCGAACAATGGAACAACCAATACCTATTAAGCGAACATTGACCTACTTTAAGGTCAAGCAACTCAAAATATTGAGTGTCAGTACGGGTTGCATCCTCCCTATAAAGAGAGAGACCAAACGATGACGATATCGAGGCTTGCCTAGGTTTCCGTTGCGATTTCCTAAGTACTAGAATAGGGCCATTCAGTAGTTAGCCGAAATATTAAACTTTGACTTGTAATAGTATTGTGTATATTATTATTACTGTGAGATTTAGATCGTTAGACTTATATTCATTTCTTTATATGTAGATTTTATGTATCTTTGTTCACATTATTATCCGTGTAATAGAGTACATTTATAGAGAGCACCGTTTGCCTTTAATTTTAGCCAATAGTGTGTCTAAAATCTACCTGTGTTAGCCCCCCCCCCCCCTTCCAATCTCCTAGACCACGAGCTTGCTCTCCTTCATTGAACACATATCCTGAACTGCAGCAAACTTTTAGTTTCCTACAACTAAATTTACCAGTTGCAAAATGCAATCACCTTC